TTTGAAAATGAACTGATTCCAAAAAAGCTCTGGTTTGCCACTATGTAGGTATGTGCACAAAAAAAATTTTTTCCTTTGATCGTAATGAAAATTACACTACTGAAAAGAGAAAAAAATTTAGAAAAATATCATATAAGTATGAGTGAAGTAAGTCGAAAAATGAAAAAGATATGAATTTTTTCCTATTTTCAATTTCACCCCAAAAATGGACCAACTTCTGTCACTTTTTTTGGAAAAACTATCATTTGTAGGTTTCCTATTGTGCCTTGTCTCATCTCGTCTCGTGCCTTGTCTCATCTCGTCTCGTGCCTTGTCTCATCTTGTCTCATGCCTCATCTCATCTTGTCTTGTGCCTTGTCTCATCTCCTCTCGTGCCTCATCTTATCTCGTCTCATGCCTCGTCTTGTGCCCCGTCTCATGCCTCATCTCATCTCGTCTCGTGCCTCATCTCATCTCGTGCCTCATCTCGTGTCTTGTCTCGTCTCATGTCTCATCTCCTCTTGTGTCTCATCTCATGTCCAATCTCATTTCTTGTCTCACATCTCGTCTCATGCTTGTCTCCTCATCTCATGCCTTGTCTCATATCTCGTCTTGCATCTCATCTCATGCCTCGTATCATGTCCAATCTCACGTCTCGTCTCATGTCTCATCTCCTCGTCTCATGTCCAATCTCATGTCTTGTCTTGTGTCTGGTCTCGCGTCTCATCTCACATCTCATCTCATGTCTCGTCTCGTAGCTTGTCTCATGCCTCATCTCATGTCTTGTCTCATGTCTCAGTCTCGGCAGTAGTTCAGGACCAGCATACCTCACTGGCTCTGTGGCTCATGACTGAACTGAACGTAAACAGCGCAACAGGACATGGTAGAAAAACTGTCCGAATGGCTGTAAAGCTCTGAAATTTCGAGAGCATGCTGCCATGCTCTAAAAACTATAATCTTTATTTCAAATTATCTTTCATTAATTTCAAAATACGATATCCATGTTTATTTCCCGCCCAAATGTTACCTCTTGCACATCCCAGCTAAGCAGGTACTTGATAGACATTTCTCGAAAAAAAAAATGATGTCGTCATAGTTCAAGTTTTTATAGTTTGTTTCCAAACAAAAGTCAATCAAATTAAGCTAACATTTTAGCGGGACTTTCAAAATTAAATACCTTACGCGCGCCGATGCGGAAAGTGGCTGTCCGCCATTTTGCCAGCATTGTTTACATTCGAGCGTACTTTGTGCACATACCTACACTATGCTCTCAAGTCTCAAGTTCATTTGTGAGTCCTATAAGTAGACCAGAAAAGTATCCTGGATACTGTAAGGTGTTATCATTGGGTATCAGCCACATCGATTAGGAAGCACGAGCATCAGAATCAAAAATTGGGCATCAACCACATCGATCATAAAATGTGTACATGCATGTTAATCATCAGGCAATGATTACATCAATCATAAACTGCTTGCATAAGCATAACTCATAAGTGTTGATTATTGGGCATTGGCCGCATTTATTGCACCTTCCAGTCTCCAGACCGCGGCAACCACAACGGGATGCCAAAGTGAGGTTGAGATGGCTGATAAAGATCCTCAAAAGAAGCCAATGTAAGGTCAATCACTATTCAACCGTCTCCCAGGGGCAGGGCCAGTCCAAGCCTCTCGGAGTCTCGGTCCTGTCCTTATAGCCTACTAGCCCTAAATCCCAATCCAAGTTATCCAACCAAAGTTCGGATCAATTTATAGAAATCAACGTAATATAAAAACATGAAAAGTTATTCTAAAATATAAAACGACGTGATAATCTATAAAAAATATTGAAATAAAACTTGACAACGGGCAACGGCCGGTCCTCCCTCACGTAAACAAACACCGCTAATATTTCCGCCATTCATCCAGATTTTACTTTGAGGTATTTTTAGTAGTCAGCTCGTATTACATGAAATTATTAAAATTCTTTTACGTAAAGTATCTGTTTTATCAAATTCACATATCTTTAGAATTTTCATCGGGTAATAATATTAATAAGCTCCAATATGAATTAATCTTTTCTCCACAATTCATTTATATGGTTATACCCACACATAAGCATGTAACCCAGTCCTGTGTGAAAATAAATTCCCTGATCGCATACAAAGATTGTTCTGAAAAATTTGTCTCCACAGATATTGATAGTTGTTAGTGCAAAAAAAAATTGCTCATAAAACTGTAGATATCGGCTATTGATTATGTTAAAAACTGAAATTTTCGTGCATAGTGTCAACTGATAATTTCGAATGAATAACAAATATGGCATCTTAATAATCAAAATCCCGATTCAAGTCAATCGTTTTTGGGTCTGCTGTCTGCAAAACTCCAGTTCATATACTTGGCAATCCCGTACTTACAATCTTGTGCAGATGTGGTGTGGTGTGCGGCTCTCCAAGTCGCAGGTGTAAATGTGGCATGTCTGATTCGTTTGCGGAGAATCGGGAGAGAGTACGCGGCGTTCATACGGCAATCATTTTACATTGTGCTTGTGAGCTACGTAATGATTTTCTTTCGTGTTTAACCATAATTACAGTTTATATCCATTACCGTGACTCTGTAAAACACTTTTCTTTATCCATGAGTGTAATAGCTTAGTGTTCAATTTCAAGAACCCGGCTGACTCTCTCGCCCCTCCCCTTCTGCAGGCTCATGGCACCTGCCTCCTCTTGACAGTTGAGTGTTGACAGTTTGACACGGGGGCGGGAAGCGGTAGGACAAGGAGCTGATTCAAGCCAGAATCAGTTCAAATCAAAACTTAGCAAAAACTGGCTCTGGTTCATTATTATTATTATTCAATAATTATTGATACTATTATTATTATTTGTAGCTATGTTTTTAGTGCTGACTGCTGCATTGATTGTAATCACTATCTCATACCGTTGGCGTCAAACGGGGTAATAAGGGACGGGCCACGGGCAGGGTAAATCAGGAGAGTCCTCTCTCCTCTGTCTCCTCTGATGTCAAAAATGAATTGATTCTAAAAAATCTTTGGTTTGCCACTATGCTGAATAAATTCATAAAAGTTAAAACTGTTGTATCAACTATCAAGTATCCACTAAACTAATTAGTAAAATATTGCAAAAGTAAAAATAGTGGCCTAAAGTTCAACATTTCTCCTATGTCCTACCTATCTATTTGACATAAAGAAATTTAAGAAATCATACATTAACTACCTCTAATAAATCCCTAAAAAGGTGTGAAAAGTGAGATTTTGGAAGAGTACCTACTCATCTGACGTCTCTTCTTGCGCCACCAAATTTTAGCTCCCATCTCCATGGGTTTTTGCTCGTACCTAGTTCTGCAGAGCTCTGTAGCAAAAGTAAATTTTGGCATAAAAAATTCACCTAACAAAAAATTAATGTGCTTAGAAATTAGAATCAGAATGTCATAGATTGTGCACACTGCACTTGGCAACATAGAATGAAAAGAAATTAATCTAAACTCTGATTTAATTTGCCAAAAAATATGATTTTTGTCAAAATGGTGCAAAATTACAAGCCATTCTGTAAGCTTACAGTCTAATTCTAGCATTTCTAGAATCCGTGATCGTGATGAGCCAGACATGGCCTATCATCAGTTACAGATACAGCCTTACAGGAGAAATGCTATATGGCTGCTGATATGAAGCTTGAGGTGGACAAGCATAGTGGCAAACCACAGCTTTTTTAGAATCAGTTCATTTTCAATTTCCTCATTTACCCAAGATTTAAACCAATTTCTTAAGTATGATGATGCTAGTATCCAGGATACTTTACTGGTCTACTTATAGGACTCAAAAATGAACTTGAGGGAGAGTCTAAAAAACTCTCTGCTTTGCCACTATGCATGATACTTTACTGGTCTACTTATAGGACTCAAAAATGAACTTGAGGGAGAGTCTAAAAAACTCTCTGCTTTGCCACTATGTGGACAAGGTTGGTGCCAATGCTCAATAGCATGTCCATGGATATGGTAATATCATGAAAACAATACGGTTATCTATGGATATGGTAAATTAGTAATTAATGTATGGAGATGTTAATATCATATTAATAAAGGTAAAACAAGTATAAATCACAGAAAATGTCATTTATTCTACATCTACATCATCTATAGAAGAAGAGGAGGACTTTAGACTCAAGAGTACTGTTAGTAATGGATTTGTACACTCTGCAACTGTGCAACCATTTTCAAATTGAGTTTCATTTCAAATGTTCCTAATAACCCTGTTCCCAGGGGTAATTCAGGATGCTTTTCTTTTGCATTTGGCACCATATGGAACAGTTTCAGACTTCAAAGATGCCATACAATAGCCCTCACAAGTCACAAAGACCTTTACAGTGAGCCCAAACTTGTTCATGAAATGTTACAGGGTACAAAGTTAGTATTAACAAAAAATGCTCACAATCATCCCTTATTACCCTGTTAGATGGTTTCTTAAATTACTCTATATTTCCAGGCACAGGAGAAATTTTAATAATTTAATTACTCGTGAATGTGGTTGCTCAATGACACATTGTGTTCAATAGGAGAAGCAGAGAGATTGACATGCAATGTACTGACAACTGCAATGGCCTTGGCAAGTCCTTGTTAGGATATGTGTTGTGTAAAGCTTTTGATACAGGCAGGTTTTGCAATTTCATTAATGACATTAATTGATTGAGTTTATGCTTAATTCTATTTGTTTACCCATACATAAAAATCATTTACTTGCAAGTCTTTTTTTAATTCAGTAGGTATTTGCTCATTTCCTTAGTCCAATTCCTAACTGCTGTTGATTTGTGTATCTTCATCCAATAATTTTTTGTTATTGTTTCAGTTTTCATAGTGTCATTTTCCTTGGTTTACTTTAATCTCATTAACTATCCTGTAAATATTATTATCCATTTAAATGAAGAGCATAGAAAGTTTCAAGCATGGAGAACAATTTCTGCATAAATTAGTTACACATCAATAATGTACATCAAACAGTGCACCCATGATCTGTCTCAAATATTCTTAGCACCTGTAGTTATTATCCTGATAGTCTTCAGCTAGAGAATAATTATCTATAATAATTAAAAATTCACCTGTTACTAACCTTACCTATCATCTCTTCATATAAATTCATACTGTGCAAGTAATTAATGTAACTAAGATCTCTCCTTATTCAGTGACTCTTTTATAGTTGCAGTATGATATGTTAGCTCTTCTACTGTACACTTATTTTAAATTATTCTTATTTTGCTGGCATTTTATCTGCCACATGTTTTACAATTCATTAGTTGAGACAGAAGTTCTGATCCTCTAAGAAGATGATAGTCGGCTACAGTCCTGTGATGCAAGCTCTCCTGGGCACCCTCTTTACTTGGGGCCTCACGGCTGCAGGCTCAGGGCTGGTCTTCTTCATGCAGGGCACCAAGGTATCAAAGTTTTAAGTTATTTCATCCTAAACTTTTGAATAGTTTAAAATTGTGAAAAGTATTGTCAGCATAATGATTAGTATATTGATTGTTCTGTTAGTATCTGCATTCTATGAAGATCAGAGCAAAAACACAATTGTTCTGCAATCTTTTTTATTTTGTGAAATTACTGAAATGAAATTTTTTGTAGTGGTTTGCATATTAAAAGTATTTAGCACTTAGTGCTTAATGTGCTCCCATATTATGAAAAAATTCTATGTGCAAATAAACCTAAATGTGAAATGTCATCTGGTAACTTTAAATACATCTAGACCCATCAGAAAATGTCTTGGCAAATGTTTTTCTCTGTCTGCTTGTCCAATTCTGTCCATGATCAGCTCCCACCACATGACTTAAGTAAAGAGTACAAATTAGTTTCTTGAAGTGAAGCATTACTATATTTCACTAGCATAAAGCTGCCAATTGTCTTTTGCAGCCAAGAATTCTGGATAGCAGTCTTGGGTTTGCTGCAGGTGTGATGACAGCTGCTTCATTTTGGTCATTGCTGGCACCAGCAATAGAAATGGCTGAAGAATCTAAACTATATGGCAGTACAGGGGAATATGCTTTCATCCCTGTTGCGTGCGGATTCTTACTTGGCGGAGCTTTTGTCTTCCTAGCCGATCATTTGATGGATGGCTCAAGTCAAACATCTTTATTATTGTGTCACAAACAAGATATTAGTGAGTGTTGATTAATCTTGAATATTTTGTGAGAAATTATGGTTTATGTGAGCTTTCCTCATTGGTTTTGATATTTTCTCTATTTATTTTTAACATAGCCAAGGTCAGTAAGTTTGCTGAATTTAGCACAAGTTTACTCTGCTGTATATATCTATGAAAATTGGTAAAATATAAATATTTTGTGTTATGCCTTGGTTTTTGCTTGTTCTTATAAAAATTAATATTACAATTTTTTAATTGATGATTTTTTCCCCTATGATATTGACTTCAATTGTGCCTTTGCAGGAGCTATGGGAAATGGAAAAAAGGATGACGATTTTAGACCAAAATATTCAAATTCAGGTATGCTCTTTGATTTGTATTACCCTTTGAGCCAATAGGAGGGAGTGAATATCCTAATTAAACTTATTATGACTGTGCCAGTGAACTCAATTTTATTGCAATTATTGTTTTAAAACTTTTTTGTGTGTTCCTGGTTTTCATAGCAAAACTTTTGCATCCTGTCATTTATTTAAAACAACATCAATAAATGATTATTCCTAATGGGACCGTTATCACTACTATTTTTGCTTTCTATCATTATGCTTGAGCGTGGCTATCTAATTTCTCACATGTTGTATTGGTTTGGACACTTTTTAATCACTTTTTAAATATATATCCTACTATTTGCAAACTATACTGTATATTTAATGATAGAAAGCATCTTCTTCCTAAATTATTTCTAAAACTTATATTGTAATGTGTTGTCTCTTCTTCAAGAATTTCCTTTGCTATTGCTATGCCATTAAATCTATTTTTCATCTCTTCGTTTCTTCTTACTTACTCCAGCACTGGTCACCATTTACTTCCCTTTGTCCTTGTGAATTTTGCACATCTGTGTCACAAAACAACTGCATGTTCTACCAGGTGCAGAGGATGGCTACAGCTCAGCTCAGTTTACCAGTCTTGACGTAGGTGTGTAGAAACATGACATGTGTTGAATTTTTGCACAGCTATGGATATCTTTGTCAGCTATATTTATATGGGGATTTAAATTAGGTACCCGTTTCATTTGCTTTGGAGTAAATTAATTGGTTTTGCATTTAGTAGAGTATGCAGACCTAGTAGATTTTTGACTGCAGACAAGCAGAAATAATATACAGCGAGTAAAATATAGCTTTGTAACATTCAAACTTCTGACTGTTTTTATGTTTTAAATTTGTCTGCGCTTGCATAGATGACCTATTAAAATAGATAAATCTTGGTTGCTGTAATTTTCCATGTGTATTGTTGTAGGTAAGATAAAATTTATTTCATTTATTCATAAATGTTGATGAAACTAAATTAATTTGAATACTGATTTTGGAAATTGTGTTGTACTATTACCTAATTTCAGGAGAAATGAAGCAACGGGTCAGCAGCCCTGTCTCTTACTCCAGCCTTGATCAGGACTCGGAAGAAGCTGGACTCCCTGGCGGCCAGAGAGCTTTCTCGCACCAGCAGTGGAAGAGAATCTTGCTTCTGATTGTGGCTATCACAGTGCACAACATTCCTGGTGAGTCATTCCTCTCACAATATTCCTGTGAGTCATGCCTCTCACAATATCCCTGGTGAGTCATTCCTCTCACAATATTCCTGGTGAGTCATTCCTCTCACAATATTTCTGGTGAGTCATTCCTCTCACAATATTCCTGGTGAGTCATTCTACTCACAATATTCCTGGTGAGTCATGCCTCTCACTATATCCCTGGTGACATGCCTCTTGCATCATTTCCTGCTATTTTGAGCTCACAGTATTTCTGGTTGTCTAATTTTAAATTAATCAATTACGATGAAAATAAACAAAAGATACCCATCCAAACATGGGCCTGACAACCATAATATGATTTACTGAATATAAATGTTTTTGAAGTAACATGTGCCTCTTTTATGCTATAGTTGTACCTTCATCAAAATGTGGTACCGTTATTTAATGAAGATTTTCCATTACAGAAGGCCTAGCCGTTGGGGTTGGCTTTGGTGCCGTCTCTCAGTCCAGGCTTGCTACCTTCATCAAAGCCAAGTGTGTGCACTTCCTCTTCAAGTTGAAGAATAAAATCCATATTTTGATTCTTAACTTGATAGTTATTGCAAAATGTGTGCAGTCATTAATTACTTGTGTTTGTATAGCTATCATTTTACAAGCTGTGGTTGAAATTTTATTAATAGATGTAATTTTTACAGGAACCTCGCCATTGGCATCGGTATTCAGAACTTTCCCGAAGGCATGGCTGTAAGCCTGCCACTCAGAGCTGCAGGATACAGTAAATGGACAGCATTCTGGTGAGAAAAATTATGTGTCTTAAAAGTCGATGAGTATAACTGATAATTTTTATAAAATTTTTAAGAATCCTTTTCGAAGTTTACTGAATTTCCTGAGAAAACTTTGTTAGACACACTATCTCCCTTAGCACAGAAATGAAACCTGGGCATGGACCTTTGATTGTTAAGAATTCACTTGAGTATCACGGGCTGGTAGACATGGTCTTCTGATCCAGATGATGGATGTAGCACTTGACTCTGCTTATTAGCACTTTATTCATAATAGCCTAGAATGCTCTGAAGTTAGAACCCTTTAGTTGACATACATTATAAAGCACGACTAAGTATATCCTAAAGTACGGATATTACAGTATCTGTGTGGGCAGGTACGGGCAGCTGAGCGGCATGGTGGAGCCCGTGGCAGGCGTGCTGGGTGCGGCGATGGTGTCGCTATGGCAGCCACTGCTGCCCTGGGCGCTCGCCTTCGCTGCTGGGGCCATGATTTGTGTCGTGGTTGACGACCTCATCCCTGAGGCACACTCCAGGTACACTATGTTGACCTCATCCCTGAGGCACACTCCAGGTACATTATGTTGACCTCATCCCTGACTCACACTCCAGGTACATTATGTTGACGACCTCATTATGTTGACCTCATCCCCGAGGCACACTCCAGGTACATTATGTTGACAACCTCATCCCTGAGAGACACTCCAGGTACATTATGTTGACCTCATCCCTAAGGCAAACTCCAGGTGCACTATGTTGTAGTGTGACACTCCTGTGTTAGAGACATGCCTTATACTACCTCGGGGATGAATTCGTCGTATTTGTTTTCTACATTTTTTTTATTTCTTCCGTTGGAATTCCTGCTGATTTTGTCATATTCAATGAGTAGGTAAAATTAACAGTAAATGTGTTGGGGCAGCCATAACTGTGGACTCGTAGCACATTTGTTTATAGATAGTCTGCACATTAATGCGGACATAGCCTTTATCCTAGGTTTATATTCAAAATTTTCAATATTGCTAATTATTGTATTGTCTTCTTAGCCAAAACTCACCACTGCTTTCAAGTGTTCATCTCCTTCTCTTTGAAATACCAATCGAATTTTTGCAAGTAGTATAATTTCAACCTGAATCTATTGCTTTGCGATGTTAGATATTAACCTTCTCTAAAATTTTCCTATCAAATGTTTTTTTTTTTTTGCAATAAAAAAAAACTATCCAACGTATTTATTATTATTATTATTTTTTTTTTTTTTTTCAGGATACATTTTTTGTTTTGGTACATAGCGCGAATGTCTGCTCTCCTGACCAACTTATAAAGTAGATTCATAAGCATGTAGACTTATAAAGTAGATTCCAAAGCAGGTACAAAAGGTCGCGTTGTTTCTCAAGCTGAAGCTAACCGAGACCATCTCACAGGAACAACGGACGCCTCAGTTCGTACTGGTGTCTGCTCGGCTTCGTCGTGATGATGGCTCTGGACGTGGGGCTAGGCTGACCCAGCCACTCGACCCACACTCGCCAAAGACTTGACGCTTCACATTTTCCAATTATTTTAGCCGCAGTTTTATCTTGATGCGTATAATCAATGCTTTTATATTGATATCAATAAAACGATAACAATTTGATAATGATGGTATGATGCAACTCGTTGAAAGAAATCTAAACATGTACAAAAATAGAGTCAAATGGTCCAAAATAATGCAATCGAGATTATGGATCTTCTCATGTCGTCGCTCTTGTTTCTGATTCAACTTCTGGTTGCTTCTTCTCCGCTTCTGACAAATGTTAACAAAGCCACAATAGTTAAGCTTAACATTTTGAAGATCTCAAGTCAGTTCAATTTAAACTATAGTAGCTGCCAATGTCGTTGAATCTGACGCCGTTGCAATGCAGTCTTTATTAAGCTTACACATACAGTGTGTTGAATCTATTTTTATATTTTTCTGATATAGTCCCGCCTCGCTGTTAGGCCGTAGGGAATTACTAGTTTTTCTTATACTGTGAGCATGTTCGCAAGCAAGGTCTGGCGCGCTTGTGCTTCTGCTTTGAGCTCGCTGCGTTCATTTTTTGTTTTCGTGCGTTTTAAGAATCGTATACTGCACCTAGTCATCCAGACTGGTTGAAATGATAAGCTTTTATGCGGCACAAATTCCTTGCTTTACTACTCATAAGGCCAAGTATTTTAATTTTTTAAATATATTCCACTTGTTTTTATTTATTTTTATTTTTTGTTAGGGTTTGTTGTGGTATGAAACCGAAGCGGAATTAATGAAACCAAAACGGATGTTTAGTACAACTCGTGATTATTGTAGTTTGCTTCATTTTGATTTTGTTCTTAAGCGTCTTATGTTCTCATCAAGAATTGATGGCCAAAATAGTGTAACCTCTGCGTTAAAATTTTGTTTTTCCCTAATTGCTGTTTTTTATAGAGTCCGTTGTGAGCAGAATGCAGCTCTAAAACTTAACAGTATAAAAATATTTCTTTTGTTGTTTGAGTGAGGCTTTGATATGTAGGCTGTGTTGTTGGCGCTTGTAACTTATTTTTATTTATTGTGGGGAGCATCAGGGTTTCTAAGTGTACAATTATGCCGTCCATAGAAATACTGTAGTAATTTTATAGAATAACAACTTACTGGTAGATAAACCAACTAATGCTGTTAGTATAAATGATGAAACCAAGTTGTTATGTTCAAAAAGGCTCCGAGCTTGAGTTTTATTCCATCAAGTGCAATTTTCAAGAATCTTAATTTCCTTTATTGTGGTAGCAACAAGAAATATGGATCCCGTTACCTAATTGTTTTTATTGTTGTCCAGTCATTAACCACAAGTATGATATCTTGGGAAAAGTAGTGTTTTTACGTATGACATTTGCTGTAAACATTATTTTGAGCTTCGATTCTTAAAAAGTCTGAATGTGTCCAATATTTTAGCATAAAAAAGTGGTCTGTGTCGTTGACAGCACTTTTTTGCATTTGCATCTAGTCAGTCTTCTTGCTTTATTTTTTCCTTTACTTCTTGTTATGGAACTTTCTCACTTCATCATAACCGGTTATGAACTGAAATAGATTTCCTTACATCAGCATTATTATTTTTGTTGTGATTTAATGTAGCTTGAATGGATTCCAACTCGATACGCTTCAACGTTTCTCACGTTGAAGTTGAAGAACAGTTTGAGCTATTGAGCTATGATGTGACTAACTGCTGCATTTAAATTGAAATATTTATTTATTTCCGGTTGTTTCGCTTGGTATTCTCGGTGGCCAATAGCTTACACAAATATATCTTTATTGTCATGCAATCCGTGTATTGAATTTGTCAAGTTATCCAAACCAATCGGTATTATTTTCGTGGACTCAATGGCAGTAAAAAGTTTGAAAACCTGTTTCTCATATCCATAAAGAAATTAATTTTTAGGTAATAAGTTGCAGGAAATTTCATGCCTGAGATTTCCATCTCATTACCCATGCGTTTGGAGCGGCGTGTCCTAGCGCTTATTTCCTCTGCATATCCCTATGAGAATTAATCGTATTCCAGGTGTAAAATACTTGATTTAAATGCCTGGAACTGCAAGTTGCTTTCTCCGCTCTGTTTATTTGTAGTTAACCTGTCTACTTATCACAGGCGCAATTACATGATTCCTTATATAGACTTCTGAGGCGCGTCGTGGTTTGCTTTCTATTTGTCTATACTGTTGGGTCACCATAGTTTAAATGTCTCATGAATGTACGTGTGGGGATTTAAAAAAGTGAGTCTAGCTTTTATTTATTGTGGATTTACCGTGCGAAGGTAATGGCATTGTGTTGGATGCGATATCATTAAATGCTCGGAGGAATGCAGCCATTAGCAGCTGGTTCTTTACGCTTCTTGAGGCGATGGCAGCACAACACTCGTGGCGTCAAGCCTCATAAAACATTTATTGTTCTTCAGTGCTTCCAATTTTTCTCCGTATTTCAATGAGATTTTCACGTGCAGTAAACACTTGATTGACATTTTGCTTCATCACTGCCAGGATACGTAAGATCTGCAGTCTTATCTACCTCTTTTCTGTGTTAAACTTATTTATTACAGTTATATCCAGGGGAACCTACTTTATTGAGAGTTGGTTGCATTGGTTGCTAGGAAAAAAGGCTCCCAGTAGAAATACGTAAAATAAAGTAGGTTGCCCTGGATAGGCGAGTTGCAGCTTCTCGTCTCTTGCTTGAAAGAAAAGTAGGCCTTTATTACCTCATTTACGCTATCAGGAATAAAATGTTATATATAAGAACTTAGCAACATTTCCATGAGTTTCCGTTCAATCTCGAATTACTCCCAATTTTTACGGTTCATTTAATGACTGATTTGACATTCCAACCTTATTATTTTACGTTATGCGAAGTGATTACGAGAAATAAATATTATAATATTATATCAAGGAATTGATCCTTCTGAGCATATGATAGTGCAGCTTGTATTTTATTATCTTATTTTTTTCCCCAAGGGCTATTTCTATGTATCGCAATGGCAGCTTAATAGCGGCGTGTGGGTGGCGATATATTCTTTGATATTGACATTACCAGAGTGTTATTTTATGATGGTTTTATTAAATCTTTATACTGCACGATGTTTGTATTCTTCCACTATAATTGGCTAGAAGATACGACGGCCTCAAACCAAATGTTATTTTTGAAGTCTAAAAGAACCTTAATAATTCAATTGTTGCACGGTAAGTTGAAAAGTAAATTGAAAATTTTTAAATTTGAGCCGTTTTGGGCTCATTTGTACGTTTTCTTTTGCCATCATATCACAGAGAACATCAACTAACCTTGAGTCTTCCTGGGTGCAATTTCTCGACACATAATTTCACGGCACTCTTGTCTAATAATAAATAGATAATTGCTTATTTCGGTTTTTCAACTGCCTTATCCGCTGATATAGTTTCTTTATACGTCGCATGGTTGAGAAGTACGCACTAGTTCAACCATGCACCCTCGAGCTCGTCTGGGGACTCCAGCGCAAAGCGCAACTTTAGCTGAACCGAACAGTTCATAAATATCTCAATTCTGAACGGATTTAAATGAAGAACTAATCGCGTTTATACTGGACGTCTTTTATCCTAAGAATCTTAACCTAGTATAATATAGTTCTTGAGGTTTCGTTTTAAACGAAAATGAAATGTCATAAAATATGTAATTATTCTTCTCACGACGTATTGCTCATATTTAAATAGTTACGTTATGACTTTCGGGCATATCCGCTCAAAATTGATTGACTTATGAGCTGTTCGGCAGCGCAAAAGTCGCATTTTTTCGTTTGTATTGAGAATGAAATTACTGAAATCTTTAATAATTCCTTTTACAGCTTAGTGCTAATAATGAGTCATGTTCTGAATTTCATGCAGATCAGCCAGAATTGAGGGAATTATGTTCGGTTGCGCCTAAGTTGCGTTTTTTTTTAATTCGGAAATTAGATAACGTAAAAATCGTTAATAATTCCTATCCTGGCGTAATTATTAAGAATTTTTTAATTTAATGCAAATCCCTTCAGAATTGATATACTGCTGTTCGGTGCCGCAGAAGTTGCCTTTGAACCCGCCGACGAGCTTGCGACTGACCACAGTCTCTATTGACCCAGTCTCCGTGAATGTTGATTCAAAAATGTATCTCAACAAAAACTATGCAACTGAAGCTTTTATTTCGTATCTCATATATTTTTGATTGGGCCTTGCCACAAATTCAATATGACTTAGTATTTATATATGTGTTTTTTAATTCGGTATAATTCTATCCGTTACGGGTTAACAGAACCGGTCTGGTCGAGTAGCTGACAAAACGTTAACGACCACTTCTGCAACTGCTTGCTCAGTCTGCCGCCAGCCGGCGTGTGGTAAGGTTGTGTGTAATTCTGATGCCAAACGTGATGTTATTGATTATTGAATGAATTTGCAGATCGTTGTTCGATAGTCGCTTGTTTCACGAGAAACTGCTATACTTCGACTGACAGAATGGCCGTGTCCTGGCCATCTTGACTTCGTTGTGCTCATTCGGGCATGTTTTCGTGTGGGGATCCAGCGGCATTGAATTCACGAAGTTTTACTGACCAGTGATTCCGTATATGATTGTTAATAATTGTCAGCAATGCTAAATTTCGTTGATAGCATATCATCACAAATTTTCTACTATTTTTTTAATTTTGGCTCATATCTGATATCGTGCCTGTATGAATGTTTAACGTTTATAATTTTTCAATCCCATTAACACAATAGTGATATTCACAAAAAGGCGTAATTATTTTCCTGGTAAGCCTGTATAAATTTAAAATTGGATCAGGACTTACAAAAAAAAATACAAATTACTCGTTATTTACTTTCCAACAAAGCACTTAGAAAACTCATTAGCGAGACTCCATCAAGCAGACCTCGAGTTCATTCATCGACTTATTGATTCAAAACGAATTTATTGAAGTTCCTTGTGTGCAGTTTAATAAGAGTCGTTATAAATGTGGGTATATCGAGCTATCAGCTGTAGTTGGTCTGATATTACTTGGCTGCAGTTTGATACATAATAATTAATCATGGAATGTTTCGCATCTTTGCGTTTTATAGTAAAAAAAATTGCCGCTCATACGAGCGTGCTAATAATTCTCGAATGTTTTTGTTGCAGAGTCATTTATTTTTTCGTATACATTCCTTAATTGAGCGATATTTATACTATACGATTTCTAATGATCAACACAAACACTAAGTTTCGCATCACGTGAATTCCATTTAATCTATTAGCATTTTAGCGTGTAACTTCAGTTGTGATCCTAAACAGCGTTAGTGTGATCAATACATGTGGTCAAATAGACTCACTCATTTTTCATAGATACGATTTCCTCACTAGTCTCACTTCCTCACCTCACTAAGTTCATTACATTCAACTCGAATGTATTTTTCGAGCTTTGAAGGTATCCAATTTAATGTAAGAATAACGTTATATCTTTAAAAACTATAGATCCAGTTGGAAGAAATAATCGCGATATTCTTATAAAGAGTGGGCTTCAGTTCGTTAAAACCATTTGAACCGAGTACAAATTGTATTTATGAATTTTGCCTGTGATTATTGGTTGACCAATTTATCACAGTTGCATAATCGTTTGTACATTGCATGAGCGACTGTGCGACCAAAAATTAGCGGCTGGTGAAATACATGCGTGACACTTACGCGTTGCAAGGAACATTGCCCAGCTATCGAAAAGTACGGATTTACATCGTCCAGGGAAGTGTTTTATTAGCAGTACAGCCTCAAGTCACACAACTTGTACAATTCTTGTAGTTTCCTGAATTAACTTTAAAAGCCTGCACTACTGAATAACTCGATATAAGTTAGGATGAATCAGTGAATCAGGATGGGGGAGCCAATTCATGACTGCACCTGACGACTTTACGTTGAAGTACAAGCTATTCTTATAGCATTAATATAATCAAGAATGGATTAAACTTTTATGGAAAATGCTGGTTCCGACCCAGAATGTTCTTGGGTCTTCAAGAGCGGACGGTGGGCGCGTCAACACCGCAGCCGATCGCTTCCGACTCGACCAAGGTAAACGAGCGCTCCAGAAACTCCTTGCTGAGAAGAGGAAGGCCAAGGCGAAACGCTTAAAACTCAGCGACTATGTGCGCCTGTACTGCACTATCTTTGGTGGTCTTTTGATCATCGTGGGCTTTTCAGTTCTCATCTTTTTGGTGCCAATGAAAATTGACCCGGCATTGGCGACACTGTCGTACGAGTTCAACCCTACACCTGTGATCTTGACAGTAGAACGTGTGGACTTTATTAAAGGGATAAGCAAAATTGACTGGTGCTCGTGTACCGAGGCGTGCACCAGAGACGTCTTCGAGTGCTACCATATCATCGTATCCTACAACAGCCTTCCTGGAGGCAGGTACGTCACCTCGGGGCTGTTGGAGGCCCAACAAATGTTGGTGGAGCTGGATGCGACTGAGGCAACTGATGGCACAAACACTGGTAGTCCTGCCAGTGAGATCAAGAGTTCAGCGAGTGAACGCGGGGCGCTCGAGAGTTCAGTGAGTGAACACGAGGCACTCGAGAGTTCAGTGAGTGAACACGAGGCACTCGAGAGTTCAGTGAGTGAACACGAGGCGCTCGAGAGTTCAGTGAGTGAACGCGAGGCGCTCGAGAGTTCAGCGAGTGAACACGAAGCACTCGAGAGTTCAGTGAATGAAGGCGAGAGAAATAATCCTAGAAGAAGCGAAAACGTGAGTGACGATTCTTTGTGGTCTAGAACCAATCATAGAATTTCCTTATTAGAAATAAATAACAGCACATCGCCGGATAGGAGAAAAAGAAGACTCAAACGCAACACTTCAGTGGGCCAGGGCTGTCGGTATTGTTTGAATTGTGAAGTATGCAGCGCCAAACTTTTGGTCAATGTCAAAGGCTGCGGCTATCCTCCAGAAGTGAACTGTACCGAGTTTCTGGAGAAGTACGGCAAGCCAGGCCGCCGGCTACCAGGTTATTACAGCTCATTAGACTCCAGTATTGCACTCGCCGAGTATGACGAGAGTTTAATTAGACGAGAACTGGGGGAGGCGCTCGGCTATACGTTCGGCATGATGGTGCTCGGTGTTTGTATCATCGTCATGCTACATCTTCCTTACAAAAAGCTACTTGCAAAGATCCCTGGCCGGAAAATACGCACTTCCGAGTAAGTAATGCAATTTTTTTGAACTTAACTACTATTACTTTATTATTTATAATAATTTTTATGTCTTAATCCATAATTATTTTGTTATCTATATTAATTTTAATATATTAAGCGTAAGCAAGACTATTACACTGAAAAATTGATTATTCTCTAGTATAATCTATCTGGACTCGAGAAAGCATTTATCTATTTATAAAGTCCACGGACTCTGCTGCCAGTATTTAGTTACCTAATGTCGTATATAATATGCCTATTGTTTTTTTCTCGCCTTTATTATATAACTCACAGCATTGTCGATAAATCAGCTTAAATATTATGATGAACGCAGAGTATACCAGTAATGGTGTTTTATGATAAAATATTAACCAGTTTTTTTTCGATAAAATGAATTTAGCTCAAAATTCTTGAAATTTCATATGCGATGTATTAACCAATACCGAACCATAATTTGAATTTATTTTACCTGACATGATATTCCCCATCTATTTCATATTTATTCAGTACTTGAATTATCTTAGAAGTGATTTTGGAAATACATATCTATTGACTATTGACGAGACGCAAATTATCGAAAATTTAGATTTTTTGTATTTTACATCTTTCTCCAAGGCCCCCTCAGCAGCATTTCTTTCTGCTGTAGTGCATTGTTAGTTTAAAATTGAATGGTTGATGTGGCATTTACAGTGGTTTGTATCTAAATTTTTCCAAGTTTATGCCCATATGAAGTTGAATCAAAAAAATTTCATTCCATTTCGACAGCCTCTATTTAATCTAAAAGAAGATATAACATATTCGAGCCAGCCTCGCTTTTCCAAACCTTGTCATGCTTCCAAACATGTTTTTCCGAACAACACAAAGCCGGGAACAATACCCAATACTACCTAACATTGACTTTCCAAACCATGTCATACTGCCAAGCCTTGACTTTTCAAAATTTTGTCATGCTACCAAACATTTATTTTGAAACCATGTCAAACGTTGAGATTCTTCAAACCGAACCTCGTATAGATGCCTGATCAAGTTATATATTACAGATGAAACCCTTAACGGTTTAGAAGTGTGTAGTAACCTTGAACATTTTCCCTATTCGTGTTATTGTTAACTCAGTGTCCTTCAGTCGAGAACAGGGCATTGCATTGGCTGTGTGTGTACGAACAGATCGATGTTCGTAGGCTTTTAAAATGCAGTGGCCCATTAGCTTGATGGGCTACCATACAAAACGGCGCACGTTGGCTTATCCGAAGAAGTGGAAGTTCGTTTACGCTTTTTACGAAGTTCTTGAAACATTGGAGTTCTTGCACTGCATGTGGAATTATTAAATGTCCTCTGAAGTTTCTTCCTGGTTATTAGCTTCTTTACTTTATTTACTGCTCATAAATCAATGCTAGAGTCTTTTTGCATGACTTTGCTAAATATGAATAATAAATATGACCGCAAATATTTTAATGGTGCAGCAAATGGCCGAGGGAGTGTCACCCAGGCAGCAGAATAGTCCGATTTTGCACTCATATGAGCATACGTTTTGTCGGTGTTTCGCTCTGTCGTTTCTTTCGCTATTAAATTTGATTACTTAGTGATTGGTCGAACCGCTCCATTAATTATTCAATCTCACAGTCCACAACCCATTTCACCAATCACTCCATCGATGCATTCAACGTCAACAGTAGCAGTCTACGTTCTGTTTTTATGACGGAGAACATATGTTATTGAGGTTTCTGTGAACTCATTGCCAATTGAGTACGAGCCTTCGACAAGCATGGTATCGTTCTGTGAATCATAGATACGCGAGCGCGTGAATATCGGATCATCGATGGAAGTTTACCGGCCTCGGTCGAGGTCATGCACAGACCTTGTAAGAGTATCGTTTTAATCTCTTTTATATTCAGCTGGTCATTGTATAGAACCCATGTTTGAAAAATTTCTTTCACCTCAGAAGGGCAATTCGTTTATAGAATGATTTAAACTCAAAGTACCTCATATCACATTGAGAGAACTGGGATGCCTAAGTTATGTTTGAGCCATACCATGTACCGCAGCGTATCAGGTATCCCATTTAAAAATAATTGAATAGCTAGATATTGGGGTTTAACAAAATAAACTTAGAGATAAATCTTAAATGTTGTAAATCGCTGATAATGGCGATTTCAGTGTTTAAAAGAAAATTTTAAAAAAAAATCCTACTAAACGGCGTATGGTTTTTGTTTGTGTCTCTGTAACCTCGTTTCTGCTGCTGTGTGTAGACGACACTCAGAAAATGAGCGGTACTCTGTCCCAACAGCGATTCATATTTTTGTCCTTGTTTTATCATCCTAACCCTGTTTGGTCCAGCAGAAAGGATATATCAGTGCTACGTCCGTTCTATGTTTGTGTTTTGAATTGATGGACAATATGGCCTCTATATGTCTCTGAGTTGCGGGTTCCTCAGCCGGTCATAGCGCTCTATTTCACTGTCCTACTCTTCTTCCTAGCGCTGCAATAAAAAATATTTGCGTACGCCGTTAGTGGCCTCTTTGTTCGAGTGCCTTCACCACCCCAATGACCTCGTCAACTTCACATTTTTTCCGCAAGTTTTGTACTTACGATAACAAAACGGAAATGTCGTTACACCTGACGCATCAATTTACCAATCCAAACGAATTAGTTTTTATTGACTATTCCGTTTTGTTGATCCCCATAAACCTACCTAAGCAGTCGATATTAATATAACGTTTCTCTTTGGGCTATTGAAAACTTATCCTCATTAGTCGACCAGCCTCATGTTCCGTAGCTCATATTCATTCAGTTCTCATATCCATATTCACTTCTCATATTCATATTCAGTTCGCATATTCATTTCAGGTCTCATATTCATATTCAGTTCCCATATTCATTTCAGTGCTCATATTCATATTCAATTCTCATGTTCATATTCAGGTCTCATATTCATATTCAGTTGCTGCTTAGTACGGTATCATCCTTGAATAAGTTTGACACTATTGATACACGCGCTAGTTTTATTAAGCTTGTCTTACTAGTTATTCATGGAAGAACATTTCTCATCCACACGCCAGTCCATCACCATGTCTTCACTTGTGTTGCAGCGTTCATGTCCACTTGTGTTGCAGCATTCATGTTCACTTGTGTTGCAGCATTCATGTTCACTTGTGTTGCAGCATTCATGTTCACTTGTGTTGCAGCATTCATGTTCACTTGTGCTGCAGCATTCATGTTCACTTGTGTTGCAGCGTTCATGTTCACTTGTGTTGCAGCATTCATGTTCACTTGTGTTGCAGCATTCATGTTCACTTGTGTTGCAGCATTCATGTTCACTTGTG